CCGGCGTCTCCGGAGGTACTGCAATATGATATTCAATCTTATATCATAAAGAAGAAGGTTCCACCTTCCCTTTTCAACATGTATAAGGTTATATATATAAGAAAATATTATGTAATAAAAATGTTTTATATAGATATTAAATTATTCATATGTATCATGTAATAGATATTAAATTATCTTCATATAGATTCCGTAATATAAATACACAAGCTGGCTAAAATATAAATAAGTAATTTAATCATACTCAACCCATACACATCACCAAGAACTGTCTGCTTTGGCAGAGGCAACGTGGTAGAACCAAATCTAGTCAACCCTATTCCTGCTACAATATCTTCACTTTAATTACAAAATTTTCACTGCATTTTTTTAATGATGATTTAACACTGTCTGTAATTCTTTAATTGAAGAAATGGAAATTGATTTTTGGACTAGTAATTTATTTTCAAAATATTTTTTTTGGTGTTTCCTCACTTCCTTCACAGAATAACTTTGGAAGGGATCAGCGAGAAATTAACAAGAAATTATTTTGAGCAAATACGTTAATTTTAATCTCACAAACTTTTTGGAATGACATGTCTTATTTTATTATCATTTAAAGGAAAGATCGGTATAAGTTGGGGATTATTTTTCCTAAAAAATGTTAATAATAAAATAAAACAATTTTTTATAAGTTAAAAATATTTTATATATAAATTAATTAAAAAATTATAAAATATTTACAAAATCAGATTGTAGTTTGAACTAATAGATATATCTATTTAATTTTTTTATCATCCAGAAGTGTATCCAAAGATATTTGAAATTAAAAAAAGATACCAAAACATATTAAAAATATGACTAAACGTCTTCAAAACTCAATGGTGCACTTAGGATAATGTGTGACAAAGTTAAAATTGATAATTACAGAGATGACGATACTATAGTATGTAGCAGAGCTTCAAGCGTTTGTTCATTGAGATATTACCCTTACCTATGAATAAGAAACAATATATATAATATGTTGTAAAAGAAAAATTACATTACAAACTTCGTATTGAAGTTCTATATTTTAAATATTTTTAGACAGTATTTCAAAGATAATAAAAATGATTTTCTTTATAATTACCATTTTCAGTTATATAAATTCAGGGATTGTTGTACTCTTTTTTGATATAGAGCAACAACTCTTTAAATCGTTGGGGCATACAAATAACCATTTAGAAGCTGTATGCAAATATAAAGTTATATAAAATCAAATAAAGTAATAATAATATGAATTTAAAATTTGTCATAATCGTATGCATACCGGTGTACCTATCGGAATACACAGCTTGCCAATGAAAACAAAGAAAACAACAACCTGAATTACCATCACCAAGACAAGTTGGATCTTCCTGTTCAGAACTACGACCTGGTACAAACAACCCAACTGAATAACCATTATTGCTATAAGACCATGGTTCATTTAGAGTAATCCAATGTTTCACCCTGTCTCCAAACTATTTCCAATGCTAAGGACATATATGAAATGGAAGTAATGCCTCATTTCATAACTCTAATATCCAAAAAGGAGAAACCAATAGGTCTTCATGATTTAGGCCTATACGGTGGGGTGTGTATAAAATTATCTCTAAGGTATAGATGAATAGGATGATGAGAATGTTCCCTAAAGTTATGCATAGTTCATAATCAACATCTTTAAAAGGGAGAAGACCATTGGACGGTAACTAATGAAGTTGTGGAAGAACTCAAAAGAAAAAAAAAGAAGTGTTACTACAAAGTAGGATTGACTGACCGGAAAGGCGTAGACAATACTGAGTAAGTGAGAACGACAGTCCGTTTTGTCTGATCAGGCCTCTCCAGCCGTTTGCTGGAGACATCATTTGAATGTTCATGAATGTGTAATTAATGAGGTAACGGTCATTGTCGAGCAGTTAAGGTGAGCATTGAACGTCATTAAAAGGTAAATTAATGGATAATATTCTCTGAAACCATATAAATAACAATCGATTGAGAAGGTAAAATATTTGTTTTTGACTAAATTTCGATAGACTTGCAAGGGCAATTTCTGACTTGAACGTCAGAGTGTTTTCTGTAAGTCACCCCATTTTTGAGATTGAGAGAGCTAGAGTCAGAAAGAAAGGAGGAAGTGAGAAGGACCGACCGGAAGAGGATGAGCGTTCCCGAACGCTCGCAGCAGGAGTTGTCCTCGATCCCTTTCAGCAGAAACAAGAAGAAAGGGATAATAAAGGTAGATTATGAAAAGGCAAATGACTTGTGTGTAGGAAATTTTGTATTACATGATGGATATATAGACTAGAAGGTAATTAAACGTAGATGCACTTTCTACTCTTCCATATTGGCATGATCACTTAGACCAGTCTTTGATTTTCCTTATAGATGCACTTTCTGATACATCCATTGAAAATTGAGGCTCAGAATCTTCTATGTCTTCTACCGAAGCAGTTCAAAATCTCAGGTATATTTATATATGAAGAATTGATCTTTTTTTCTTTTTGTGTTTATGAATAAAGTACAATATTTATTGACCAGATTAATGATCGTAGTTATTTGTATATCTGAGTTTTTGCAGCAACATGGAATGTAGGAGGGCAATGCCCCACTGTGAACCTTGATCTGAGTGATTTTCTTCAGGTTCAAAATGAACCAGATATGTATGTTTTAGGGTATGCTCTCTCTCTTTCTCTCTATCTATACGTTACCATGCTTGTTCTGTGGCTGCATGTCTTTTTATCAGACAAGTTTTTGATTTATCTGTAGTAATTTAGCATCTCCAGAGAAAGAGGGTGACGAGCTTCGCAGGAATCTTGATGTCATAGAGATTCTGAAGGTATGTATGTATGTATTGGGGTGGGGTGGTCACTAAGTAGCAGCATGTAAGCGGCTTGTCTAATTTTACAATCAATAATACCGTATTTTCTTGTAATTTATCAATAATAATAAATATATTTAAGGTACAATCAAGATATTCAATCCATATAAAAAAAAGTATATGTAGTAGAAGAAAAAGAAAGATTTTGCTATCATATTAAACGTATCCCTCTATTAAACAAGTCACATTTCACCAATAAAAAGTTTTACAGCACACACATTGTTGAAATTTATTACTAGGTAACATTACATGAGAGAGACTTTTCAAAGTATAGATGTGTGTACAATGCTACTATTCCTTGAGATACGGTGGTCCAAGAAAATTCTTAAACCACTTTGCTGAGAGCTTGGGATATCGCTTCAACCCATTTTTTCTGTCAACAAAGTTTAGTCCAAATCCTACTAAATAGCCATCTACCCATTCAAAGTCGTCCAAGAATGACCATGCAAAATATCCTTTTACATTTACTCCCTCCCTTGTAAATTCAATAAAAGAAATTTAAATTAGACTTTAAAATATACTTCTTAAAATATGTGAAAAATAAATCATTACCTTATTGCTGAAAGTAGATAATAGAGATGACGATAATAATAATCGATTCTATAAATATCTATAAGAGCTTCCTCAAGTGTCTGTTTTTCATCATAGACGTCATTTCCTCTACCTATAAATTAAAAGGAGTATACATCAACGTCTTAAAAGAAAAACTTATATTGAAGTTTGACATTTTAAATAATTTCGTCAAAATATTTTTTTTAAACTAGATAATAAAAGTTTTTTTTTGGTATAATTACCATTTTCAGTTATATAAATCAAAGGATCGTTGTACTTTTCTTTGGTATAGAGCAACAACTCTCTAATTCCTTTGGGATAAACATATAACCAACCAGAAGCCGTCTGCAAATATACATAAGTTATATAAAACCAAAGAAAATAATACGAATAATAATAATAATAACATGAACTTAAAACTTGACATAATTGTAGACATACTGGTGCACCTATCGGAATACCATTGCGTTCAGCTACAACGAAAACAAAAGCAAAATGTCATAACAAATTCAACATATATATATATATATATATATATATATATATATATATATATATAATTTTCACATTAAAATAT